AGCAAACTCCCGGCGAACCCCGCTTCCCTGCTCCGACCGGCGTCTGTACTCCCGGCGCCTGCTCCTGCTCCGGCTGGCGCCACCTCCTCCCACTGCCCTGCTCGGCCACTGGACAATTCCCATCTCCCATTGCCCTGCTCGACGCAACATAGGTATATTTTGATTCTCGGTTGTTTGTTTCTTCTATTATTGAATGGCAAGATCCCTATTGGTCGAGAATGTCAAGATCCCTTCTAATTCAATATGAGATAGGTGATTTCAGGACTGATTGGCATGGAATCGTGATGTGTATTTTTAATATCAAATGTTTCTTTTGATTTCAATGTTTGATTGGCATGGAATCGAGAATGGCAAATCTCACACAAAATCCCAACCATCCATCATTGATTTGAGTTCCTTCTTCGCTCGTTGCTTTTTTTGCAGCTAGCAACTAGGGCGATGAAATTGGACGTGGAGGTTTTGAGATACCTCTCGAAGGATGATTTCAGAGTTCTTACTGCTGTAGAGATGGGCATGAGGAACGTATGTATTGTATCATCATCTTCTGGGTATCTGTTTAGTTTAGTTCAGTTCATCATGTAATTTGGTTGGTTTTAAGTTTTCCCTCTGTATTTTATGCGACAGCATGAGATTGTCCCTGCAGAATTGATTTCTCGAATAGCTTCTCTTAAGTAAGTTTTCTTCATGGCCCTCTTGTTATCCGCCCTTTCAAATTTTGAATCTAATTTAATGGGCTGCATTCCTTTTTTTGCTGAAAAATGATCATAATGCAGGCATGGGGGCACTTATAAAGTATTGAAGAACTTGCTCAAGCATAAATTAGTGCACCATGACTCCTCTAAATGTGAGCTTTAGTCCTTGTGGTTCTTTATTGGATGTTTATTTGGGTTCATAAATATACTTACTATGCTAATATGACTGTAGATGATGGGTTCCGGCTTACCTATCTTGGATATGATTTCCTTGCAATTAGAACTTTGGTCAATCGAGGAGTCATTGTGTCTGTTGGCCGTCAAATTGGGGTTGGAAAAGAGTCTGGTAAGTTATGAAATGGTTTGTTTCAGTGACTTTATGGTGGAAAGAAATGATTTTTTGTTCCATTTTAGCTTAATTTCAATTCTACAATCAGGATATCTTGTTGAAATTTTGTATGAACTTCGCCTGGCACAGATATATTTGAAGTGGCTACAGAGGATGGTACAGTTTTGGCTATGAAGTTGCACAGACTTGGTAGAACTTCTTTTAGGGCTGTGAAATCTAAGCGTGATTACCTGAGACACAGAAGTAGTTTTAGCTGGCTCTATTTGTCTCGACTCGCTGCACTCAAGGAGTTTGCTTTTATGAAGGTTGGGAGATGTCATGGTGCAGACTTCGGTTGTTCTTTTGTTATATTGCCTCTGACAAGTTTTTATTGCTGGAACAGGCTCTGGAAGATCATGGTTTTCCTGTTCCTAAAGCTGTGGATTGTAATAGACACTGTGTGATTATGTCCCTTGTTCAAGGTTATTCACTGTAAGTACTGCTGTTGTTTATGCATTATCTGCAGCTCTAGAATCAGGAATAGTGTTATATGCTTTTGGTTGTTTGCTTTGTTGCAGTGTGCAAGTGAGGCAATTGCAAAATCCAGAAGTTGTCTTTGAAACAGTTCTTGGTCTTATCGTTCGTTTGGCAGAACACGGGCTCATTCATTGTGACTTCAATGAATTTAATATTATGGTATGTTGTATGGGTCTAGGCATAAGTAAGCGTACATGTCTTACTTTTCAAATAGCTACCATTGAACCATCCTAATGTGTCATTTGTAGATTGATGACGATGAGAAGGTGACCATGATTGATTTTCCTCAGATGGTATCCGTGTCTCATCGGAACGCCCAAATGTAAGTTATTGCTTTCTTTCTCCTTGTTTGATGATGTTTTTTTTAGTTCTCTTCAGTGTCAAATATACTCCTTTCTTAAATGTTCTGCAGGTTCTTCGACCGTGATGTTGGATGCATCTATAAGTTCTTTGCCAAGAGGTCAGTCTAATTTTTTATTCAAGCATATTCAAAAGGCGACCGTTATTTCTTTAATATTTCAACATTGAAGCTTGGAAAGACCTTCATGTAGGATTGTGACTGTTTTGCTACATCCTCTCAGGAAGAACTTTGATTCCTTTCCCCTTCTATCATTTGTTTAAAACTTGCCTCCCTATCTCTAGTGTTATTTAATATTTGAGTCGGTTGAAGTATCATATATTCATTTGGGGTACTACTAGTGAACTTTTACCACGTTTGTCTGGCTCGTACCTAGATGTCGACTGACTCGAATCATATGTGCTCTCTATCTAGGGATCTTCTAACCAGCGTTTCCTTCTGTAGGTACAACCTCTCTTTTCAGGACGATGCAGATGATAACAATTCTGCACAGGCAGAAACTGATGAAGCTGGCAGACCTTCGTTTTCCTCGATTTCTAAGTCTTCTGGTTTTCTCGATAAGGAACTTGCTGCTAGTGGATTCACACGGAAGGATCAAGATGATATGGAGAAGGTATGGGTAAGGTGTTTTTCAAAGTAAAAAAGTTACATTCTTGGTTCTTGATCTCCTATCCATTTCAATCAGTCTGTGGATTAACAAGTTAGTTTCTTTTGTATTTCAATGAAGTTGTGCTTGGAATCTTTTGTTCGTCATCTTGTTTGGTAGAGCTTTTATCTTTCCACCTGTTGTTAGGTGTGTTTAAAATTTCCGCATGTGCTGAATTCAGAATGCTTTCGTTCGTAGGATAAGTGTTCGATTTCAGTTTTTTTTTTCCTTGACGCTATTGGATTATTTTTTAGTTCCTTTCCACAATATGACGTCAAAATTTACTCACTTGTAAATTTATATTGTGGTATTGTGGTGGAATTCATGTGCTTCACATGTAATCGTGCATCATTACATTCACTGTAATGTAAACGTTGCAGTTCATTGAAGGAGATGCTGACAGCGAGGAAGATGAGGGTGAAGAGCATGTTTCAGAGACGAATGAAACCAACATCACAAACTTAGATTCTCTGCAGATAGAAGATCAGGTTCCTTTCCCTCAATTATTAGATTGACTTTCTCTTTTTGTACAATAAAATCATATATGGTGCTTATCGGTAAATATACCATTCAGGAAGAGCAAACAAATGAAGAGGAGGTAAAAGTTGTTGCGAATCAATTGAGTGAAAAGGCACAAAGCGATGGCCTTGTAGCAAAAGATGATGATTATGAGGTTTGAATTCATCTGGCCTGTAGTATCAAGTTTCTATAGTAGTGGTGAAAACACTTGATTGTATGTTACAGTTACATTGTCAATGTCTTATATGTATTTAGTTAGATCACAGTTGGCTGACCTTAAATTTTGCCTGAAACGATCATCTTAATTTTTGGGGGGTTTGGGCCATTCCAGGAAGACGAAGACGAAGACGACGAGAATGCAACAGAGAGTGATGCAGAGCTGACCAAGAGGCTGAACAAGCACAAGAAGCGAGCAATAGCAGCAGCCCGTGGGAGGCAAAGTCGAATCTCCTCCAGAAATTTATACAAAGACAAGGGCGGTAGATCCTCTCAGAGCTCCAAAGTTCAGAAGAACTTTGGTGGCTGGTAAAACCAAAGGCATAGAATCCATTTGGAGGGTTATACATGCGGTTGTGTGGTTGGTTCTTTAGCCGCCTTGTGTCTGAAAGTTTTGATATATATGTGAGACCAAATTAGAAGAGAGCTTGTACATGAGCCTTATTGATATGTAATCAATCGATCAGGCTTTCATTGGTGATCATGTATTACAATGAGTTGGTGCGGTTGTGCTTTTCGTCGAGGTTTATGAAATCTTTCCTGGCATCGAACTGATCAGGTTATTAGCGAGATGTCAAGGTTTAATGCTCCTTGAACAGGAAATGAATTGAACTACCACGAGCTCCAATCTAATTTCTACCTACTCAACTCATGGCACAGTAACATATGAGCTTTCAATCATTTTTAATCTGGGCTCCAAATGTATTTTTTCTTTGTGTTATTATTTTCGTATGGTCTGAACTTTGACCAAAATAAATATCCTGGTCAATCTTTTCGATTTATAACATTCTGGCCCGAACTATACACCACAATAAAAAATTTGGCTAGATCCTACTTTTGACCGTTAACTTGGACGGTCAAACGTGTTGACCGTTAGTCAACGCGCCATGTCACTGCCAAGTCAGCATAAAATATTTAAAATAATTCACAATTTTCACACATTTTCTAATTTTAAATTATTATAAATTAAAAAAAATCATCTAATACCTTAGTTAAAACAAAAACGAAAAACGAAAAAAATTAAACATTTATCTGATCTTCTGACTTGGCAGAGACGTGGCGCGTTGACCGTTAGTAAACGCATTTGACCGTCCAAGTTAACGGTCAAACATCGGGTTTGGCCAAATTGTTTATTTTGGTGTATAGTTCGGGCCAGGATGTTATAGATCGAAAAGATTGGCCAGGATGTTTATTTTGGTCAAAGTTTAGGCCATATGAAAATATTAACCTTTTTCTTTCTGAGCTTCCAAGGTACACAAAGTTGTTTATTTACTACGAGTAATCATTGGTACATAATACATATTGATACCCGTGAGCTTTTCCAGCAGTGAACCCCTCTTACACTCCTACTAAATTTCCTTTTCACAAACAGAATAGCCTAGCAACATCAACCGCACCACAAGATAACATGACACACATACACCTGTGTAATGTGCTTCTTTCCCCCTCTTAAAGAAGTAGAAGGTGACGATGAACAAGAGAAGAAGGATGACTACCCATGTTGTGATATCTTTTTTATACGAGCCAAACAGTTGTCTTTCGGTCGCGGGTGAGGCAAGTACTGCATTGGACACTCTGGATTCATGAGTTCCGACCTGCAACAATAATCCGAAAATCATCCAAATCTCTAAATCACGAATTAGAACAGTTACTATTGGGATCAAGTAAACACTTAGATGAGGGATATGTTGCAAGTTGCACTACTCACTCATAGCCGACGAGGAAATAGTGTAAAAAAGCAGCGATTTCGATCTTGGCAAGATCATTTCCAGGGCACATATGGCTTCCTGCTCCAAATGGAAGGAAAGTACCCGCCTTTGGCGTCATATTCTGCATTTGAGAAACTTCAATTAGTGTGAATACGTAATTCTATTCGCCCTGCACTACATCTCAGGTGTGACAAATGTGCTTTTCATCATGTTAATATGGGATTATGAACTTATATCTCATCTGGAAGGGTCAAATGCTCTTGGATTTGGGTATACCTCTGGGTCCAAACGCACACCCCAAAACCAAACTAGTGCCCTCCAACCCTTGGGAATCGTATAACCTGAGAGAGTACGAAAAAAACGAGTGACATTTTCTCAAGCACCCAATGATTTGTTCAAATACGACGTTATGGAGATTGATCAAAGATTAATTTGACCCATCAATAGACTCATCGCACATATCTACGTCTGTTTTCGCTTCTCTAAATACAACGAGTGAGAATGTTATAAATCTTAGTGTCTCATCTATCACCTGCAGAACACATACACACACGAACACAAATTATACAACTTTTGCAACTGTATATAACTAACTAGCAAGCTGTTAAAGGAAAATACTTGATATGGGGATTGGCAGCAAAAGAAAAACAACCTTAGATAGGTAATCCATTTGGCGTATTTCCTTGAGTATCTATACACCTTTTTGATGAGCTGGCCTTCGCCTTACGACTTCCTCTGACTCCTCCTAATTAAGCATGTAGCCTGTCGTATAAGCAAGAAGGGTATAATCTGAATACCGAATCCAAACAAAATATAGAGAAATATGGTCCATACCCTGGCATTGCAAAGGCAATCAGGGTGCTGATGGAGTAACACAGTTGCCCATATGGTGACATGAGCAGAGGATTCATGGCCAGCATTCAAATACATCAACAGAACATTGATGATCTCTTCATCTCTAAGCTTCCGGCCATTCTCATCTTCCACGCCCATCAATTCATCCATCATGTTCACCTTCTTATTCTTTCCCAACTGCTGCTTCCCACTATCATCTTCGTGTTTGACTCTATTTCTGCGCTGGTCTAGGATCGATTGCAGCACATCCACCACTTTCTTGCGTGCCTAACAGATGAAAACCATCATTGAGATTGATTCTAATTCTCATTACTCATTAAAAATCGAAAGGCATGAATCACTGCAAACAAATTAACTGCAATTGTTACCTTGAGCTCTCTGTAGTAAGCAAAACCAGGGAAGGTTAATAGTCATGCCTCTGATTTAGGGATGGCAATCAAACCCATGGTCGCGGGTATCCGACCGCCCCCGACCCAGTCAACGCGGGGAATCCCCGCTTTGACCGGGTATGGGTAAAACCCGCAAAAAGTTTGATAGTTATGGGGCGGGTATGGTTTTAGCCGAGATTTTTCCAAAAATAGCACTGTTTAATTTTTTTTTCCAAAAATAGCACCCAACTCAGAAAAATTCCAAAAATAGCACCATTTTTGTAAAACCGCCACCCGGAGGTGCGTTTTTCGATGAAAACGCCACCCGAGGGCGCGTTTTTCAATGAAAACCGCACTGGTAGGGAGCGGTTTTGCAGACCGCACCCCCAGGGTTGTGTCCTCAAACAATTCCTCCGAATTTGGAGCAAATGGTGATTGCTGACTTCGTGACTCAGGATGGAAGATGGCGAGTTGATATGTTTGAGGAACTCCTACCCCTTGATGTGCAGCAAAAGATCCTAAGCACAGCGGTGGATAGCCTCGCCAGTGAGCAGGACACGATCTGCTGGGCAGCCTCTTCGGATGGGAATTTTTCGGCCAAGTCAGCATATAAACTTCTTAGTCTAGATCTGCATGGGCCAGAGGAGAGGCACTGGAAGGCTATCTGGAATCTTCCCGTCCCTGAGAGGGTCAGGAATTTCATGTGGCTGGTTTCTTTGGGAAATATTGCCACTAATTCTCTTCGTTTTCACAGGAAGTTATTCACTAATTCGAGCTGCTTGAGGTGTCTTGGACAGCCGGAAACTATTGTCCATATCCTTAGAGATTGCCCTCCGTCTCTTTTCTTTTGGACTCGGCATGTCCCTACAGCTAAGCAGGCTATGTTCTTCGGCTCCACCCAAGATGATTGGCTGAAGGACAATGTCATGTGCGATGATTCTTGTGCTACAGGTATGTCGTGGGCAGCCTTCTTCAGTGTAGCGGTCTGGTTAATATGGAAGAATAGGTGTACGGCCAGCTTCAAGGGGATTAGTGGAGCTCTTACGCCGGCCTCGCTCTCACATTCTATCGATGCCAAGGCCAAGTTGTGGTATGAAGCTTGGGTGGCACCTCCAATTCTGCCGAACCTTAAGCAGCAGCCTCTTCATCGGATTGCCGCGAAGATTGGGTGGAAGCCGCCACCCACGGGCTGGTGGAAACTCAATGTTGATGGAGCCTCATGCGGGAACCCAGGGCAAGCGAGATGTGGTGGAGCTGTGCGAGATAGTATGGGTCAGTGGATTACTGGCTTCGTGGCGAACATCGGGACAGAGACTGCAGCTCTAGCAGAGGTATGGGCTATCTTTTATGGACTGGACCTGGCTTGGAGGAAAGGTTGTCGGGCCCTTCGGGTTGAGTCCGATTCTCAGTTGGCGATTCAGCTTATTAACAATTGATGGACCCAGTATTCACTGACATGATACAATACGTCGTTTCTATCAGAGTAATTACCAATAAAAACACAATTAGCATACCATATCCCATGTGACACGTGGATGCAAGCTAGGCTAGTCATTACTCATGGACTTGCTCCCTATTGATTTCTTCTGTAAGTTTTACCCATTAACCCACACGCATAAAGGGAGAAAAGGTGAGTGTCTTTGTCTTTATATTTTACTATCCATCCATGGTTGATTGGGTGATAAGCCTTCCACAATACAACGTCTCCAGACTCCAATTCCCTCCACGTGGATTTAAAAAGAGGAAAGGGTTGTGTCCTCAAACAACCACAACCTCTCATCTCCCTCTAATGCCACGTACAAATGGCCAACTCATTTTTACATGGAAGATGGAAATGTCTTTGTTTACCATCATCCACTTCACTCTTACACCTGGACGTGAAAGGCACAAGGTAGGTAAATGTGTGTTTCTTTCTTTACCCGCCATTCATTGCACATTATGTTAGTGGTGAGATGAAAGAATTTTTTATATTATTTTATTATTTACACGCCATCTACGCCAGAAGCAGGAGGCACTTATAAATAGGACGCTCATTTATGCTTTCTGTGCGGTGGATTCTCGATTTGAACTTGGAAAACTCTCTCTAGAGCCGGCTCAATACGCCGCTCCCGGTTATTCTCCTCTCAATACTAACTTGAGCTTCTGAGCAGGTCCCCGCCGACCACCGTCGGCGGATCCTTTTTTGTAGGTGTCCATCTCGGATGCTGTTGGCGGACGTTGGCCAGGAGGAAGATCGGCGCTCACCGGACCTCAATCACATTGAAGCAGGCTCCTTGGAGCTTGGCATCAACAACAATAGATTTGATCAAGTGCATCCGCATGTGACTTTGCTTGCTGCGATCCGTAGGAAGCTAAGCCAAGACGGGTTGGTGAGCATAACTCATACATATCGAGAAGGGAATAGAGTCGCGGACTGGCTCTCGAAGCAAAGTCTCGTCTACCACTACGGTATGCATGAGCTTGCAAACCCGCCCCCAGGCTTAGGGATCCTGCTTCATGAAGATGTTATGGGGATAACCTTTGAGCGACGGATTCCTACTTGATCTACTTCCCACTTCTCCTCTACTCATCCTATGTAATTCTGGTTGCTTGGCCTCGGCCTCCTTTTATAAAAAAAAAACTTATTCATAAATTGACATAAAATTAATTTATTATACTATAAATGAATTCTAATTGCAAATTTTCAATAAAGACCTAATAAGATCTCTTTTCTCCTTATGCCTATTCGATTTTTCCCAACAACCCTGAAATTGTCTAGCGACAGCGGCAATTGCACTAGTTTTGATTCTACGAATTACAACTGCAAATGTAAAAAGAGCATTTTCAGCTTTGAGTTATATTAAGAACAAGTTTCCAAGTCGATTTGGCGACCATTTTCCAATGCTAATTTAGTGAGATACATTGAAAAACTTATTTAATAGTGTAGAGGACGAATGTTTTTGCGTTTCTTTCACAATATGAAATCTCTTCGTGGTTGTTTATAAAAACAATGATTATATAGTCGGTTATTTTTAATCTATGAATGAATTATACACATATAATTATTATTTATTAAATAATTTTTAATTAAATATTTATATATTTATATTATGAAAAGAGGACAAGTATGGTTTGAAATGCTAGCTCCGCCACTGTGTGATGTTGCTAGTGTTTTACAAGATCATATACCACTTGACCGGTCTTAGACTCTTAGTACTCCAAATACTCTCAAAGTCAAGCCCGACAGTGAACACGCAGGCCCAGTATCGTGATACGGTCCGGACCTAGCAGTAGTCCATATAGGTAAATACCAAGTCCAGGAGTACGCAAGGAAAGCCCATTTGGAGAGTCGGCCGACGATACCAGCACATGAATTTCATGCATGCATGGCCAAAGAGGCAAAGAGCAGTTGAGTCCACAACGAGTTAATTAGAGAACAACAAAGCGAGCTCCGTCTCTCACCAAATTCCACAAAAACAAGCAAAGTATGGTAGTACGAGGGGCGGAGATACTTAGAGAGTAGGGTGGGGCCCGGCCCACCCGGGAATTGTTTCAGCCCATAGGAACGTAAGGATATTTAGATAAAGTTTGAATAAGTAGTACTTGGTCTATACATTGTGTCATGAATCAGTCATGTAGTCTACTGGTAGCTAACTAATTTTTTTGCCTGAAGCAAACAAGTTTGATCCACAACAATTTCATTTTTGCTTTAACTACTTTTTGGACTTTATTATCTTAGTTCTCCTCCACAATGTACTGGACCAAACCAAACGTAAACCCACAACTTTTCATTTTTTTTTTTTTTTTGTATTTTGTTTTTTTTTGGTGAAAAAAACTACCTCTGTTTACTTCACTTGGGATTTTTAGCTCTTTATAGAAATTATATCCATTTTTTATCTATGTCGGGATTAATAGAAATATGATTGTCAAAGGAATTCTATTTTGTTGATAGGTGATTTGTCTTCTTCTAACTCTTCCAGTTTTTCACTGCTACATGTGATTATAGGTGTCAAAATATAGCCCGACCCGATCAATCCGACCCGCAACCCGACCGCAACCCGAATTGACTAAAATTCAACAACCTGTAACCCGCCCGACCCGCAATCCGATTGACCCGCAACCCAACTAACCCGCAACCCGACTGACCCGCAACCCAACTGACCCGCAACCCGATTAACCCGAACCCGATTGACCCGCAACCCGACTGACCCGCAACCCGATTAACCCGAACCCGATTGACCCGAACCTGACTAACCCGTAACCCGACCGACTCAACCCGAATTTCATCTAATCCACTTGAATAATTATGAAATGATACAATACATAGTTTTTCAAAATAAAGTTTTTCATTCTAAACTTAAGTAAAATTATTTTTTCATTTCGTATAGGAAATTTAAAAAATATGAAACTCACTTGATATTACGTATTTTAAGAAAATTACAAAAATTGAAACATGAAGGTCACTTGAGATCATGACAATATTAATATAATATATAAATTAAAATTCTGATTAATTTAACTATTCAATTAAATATAAATAAAGTAAAGTAATGTATTTGGTAATTTGATGTTTTTAAATGAAGAGGGAAATTTTGTTGTATTCAAGTTTTTGGGAAAAGAAAGAAGAGGGAAATTTGGTTCTTTGAATTTTTTAGAAAAGAAACAAGTGGGAATTTTGGTGGTTTTGATATGTGGGAAGAGAAAGAAGTGGGAAAATTTGATTCTATTGATTATGAAAGAGAAATAAGGAGGGAAACTTTTGAGTTTTCAACTTTTTGTAGAAGGAAAGAAGAGGGTAGGTTGGTTCTTTCAATTTTATGGAAGAGAAAGAGGAGGGAAAATTAAGTTTTCTAATGTATGGAAGTAGAAAGAAGGAGGGAAATTTTAGTATTTTTGTGAAAAGAAAGAAGGAAACAAATTTGATGTTTTCAATTTTTTGGTTTTTCATAATTTTAGCTTTTGAAATATGAATCTTTAACTTTTATATGGAGGGCATGACTAGTTAAAATTATTCTTATATGCTTTGAAGGTTAATATATATATGTATGTAATTGTTTATGGGCTAATAAATAAATTAACCATTAGTTACAACAAGTTATACTAAACTTGATAAGTAATCTTTGACGGTTCGTTGTTTAGGATATAAAGTATATGGTTAGGGTATAAGGTATAAGGTACATATGGTTTAGGGTGTATATGGTTAGGGTATAAGATATTGATGGTTTTGACGGTTCTAAGTTTTTTATTAACATATGTTCACTTGAAGTCATTTGAAGTCTTTAACGGCAGGAGATCCCTTTTTAATTTATGTTTATGGTACGTGCTTAGGGTACAAGGTATGTGGTGTAAAGTATAAGATATATGGTTAGGGTATAACAATTAGCAAATATCACTTTTTATCTATGTTTTGAAAACCAAAGTATGAATTTCACTTTTAAATTAACTATACTAGCAAAATCACAACTCAAAGACATATGATTAGGGTATAGGGTATAGGGTATGTGGTTAGTGTATAATGTATTGATGGTTTAGGGTATACAATCAACAACATATACTAACTTAATATTGTTGATTGAGGGTAAGGCAAAGTGTATAGGATATATGCTATTGAGTAAGTTATGATTGAAGTAACAATAATTTTACTAAATTTGATAGCTAATCTTTAATGGTTCAATTTTTAGGATAATTCGAACAATTTTACAAATAACTAGTTTGGCAACAGTTTACTATTATTTGGGCAATGAGTTATTTCGAAATAACTCCTTTTATCACTATGCTTTTGCCAAATACCACACACCAAATACCAGATTTGCATGGTTATACTAAACGAGATACTTTAATCAATTACTACTGAATTAATACTAAAATATCAAATAAACAATTAATGTTGTTTTTTGGTTGCAAATATTGATATCACCATTACTATTAGCTATAATACTTTACCAATTATGATTAATTACATAACAAGTTTGCAAGTAATACAAATTGATTTAACATTTTGACTAGTTTTTTTCAAAAAAATAAAGTATATATATACGACGTAGAAATAAATTGGTTAAAAAGTTGAGAAAATATTTTAAATTAGTGTAATAAAATGTGTAAGTTGGTAATGAGTAATGAGTTAAGTTACTTGATGCGCTGGCCCGAACAACCCGAAACCCGATCCGCCCGCAACCCGCCCGATCCAAAACCCGATGAACCCGCAACCCGATTTGCCCGCAACCCGATTGAACCCGAACCCGATGAACCCGCAACCCGACTAACCCGCAACCCGTTTGAACCCGAACCCGATGAACCCGAACCCGATGAATCCGCAACCCGACTAACCCGCAACCCGTTTGAACCCGATTGAACCCAACCCGAACCCGCCCGAACCCGCCCGATTGACACCTATACATGTGATCGTGCATATTTTCAGGTATAAAGATAGTTAAGAATAGATTGCGCGGAACAAAATAAATGATGAGTTTTTTGTTAATGACTTGCCGTCAGTGATTAGTCCTGATGCTTCTTCCATACTCTGGGTTTAGTGATGGAAATACTTACGTGGGGCAGGTTTGATGCCCTAACTCACAGCAGCCTCATTAACCTATCTCCTTTTGCTGTCTGTCTCTTCTTCTACAACTGGTATAGCATTTCACAACAGGTGGAAAGGCCACAAATTGATCCAACAATATTGGAAGGTCATGATGGAGAAGTGAGAGCTGTAGATTGGTAATCTCGTCTTAATCCTTTTTTTGCTAATCACTAACCACAAAATCAACATGTGTAGGTGCCAATCCGGGGAAGGCAAGATAGCAACTTCTGCAGATGAAGTTCCCCTAAGAGGATGGCCATAGTTCTTCTGCCTAACTAATCAAATTTCTGTGAATATAAGGAACAGGTTCGTGTTTGGAATGCTGAAACCAACTATAGTTCAAGCTCTAGATCATCGACTTCGATCTGGAGGGGAATGATGACTCTTCACAAAGGCAGTTGAATCTTTGTAGTGGAAAAGATAGACATTCTTCAGAATAGGAAGAAGCCATGAACCACCACATTATCTTACCAACATCTTCTGAATCAATAGTGCCTCACCACTTTTGCTGAAATACTTGGTCCTTCAATTCTACAGCTGTAGCATCACCACTTTTGCTGAAATCAGAATGTGTCAAGCATATAGCAACCACAATTTTGATGTAGACTAGAATTGTACTTCAATTGAAAATGGTTATCTGTAGCAAGTTTCATTAGTAAACATTTAAGGAAATTTCCTTGGGTTCTCATCAAGATCAGCGGGTACATGAAGAACCTGATTGATCTCTTACTTCAAGCTAGATTACATGTACAACAGCAGCAGCACAAAGGGCTAATGGCAAAGCTTCGAGTGAGCTCACCTTAGAGGTGGTACATTACATAAATACTGAGCGGACCTATTACTGAATGATGAAAAGCTCTTGCTTGGCTATGAAGTAGCACCCAATGGCATTTCCTGGTTGCATGATGAATTGCTCGTGAAAAGTACCCATCCGCTTGGAGGCTATATCGATAGAAAGATCTTTGAAATTCGGAAGGCCTTCTACTTGTATACCTTCCCCACAAATCAGGAACTGATTTCCAATGATGAAGGAACCTGAAACTCGGATTGCAACCCCATCCTGGCCATGAGCACGACATTGTAGCTTTTCAACAACGTGAACGAGCTTCTGAGGTGGCCAGTCACCTGCCAATGTTGTTCGGATGCTCGACAAGGTCGAGAAGATTTCTCTGGAACCGACTGAATGTTTGCCACAGAAACTGGAAGAAATTTGAAAAAAAAAAACAAAGCTCACTAAAGAACTGTAACGAAAAAGAAACACCATAGGAGCCAATAACTAAAATAGATAAATGAAGTTGTACACAGGCGTATTTGTGATCAATCAGAGTAACATGACGTATTTATTGGGAAACAGAGCTCTTAGAAAGAAGCAGATTCCATTCCTTAAAAATGTGAAGGTACCTAAATGTTGACTCGTTGTTGTACAACGTCTTCATGTGCAGCCAATGTTCATCTGGTCCATTGAAGAGTAAGTAGTAATGCATCGTCAGCATCTGCCACGAAAGATTTAACATCAATCCCCAGTAAGCAGCATGAAACAACTCTAACATGGAGAACCTAGCAAGAGCATTCGGATAGAACAAAAAACAAAAGACAGATTCTTGTGCCTACATTAATACACTTACATCTGCCAAATCCGTCATCTTTCTCGTTGGATCAAAAACACTCCGAACAAATGCAGCCAAGTCTACACTAGTGTCATGAGCGTGCTTCGTAATAAATGGGTGTGTAAGAAGCTGCAGCAAGAGAACACCAAATCAAGTACCAAAGGTGCCCTCTTAACCTTTTTTCGAAACTCGAAGACATTTTGCTCTTGCAAAAATGTTATCATATTTGAACACATAATTTACCTGGTCTGCAGTTGGCCTTGCATCTGGATCCTTAAGTAGGCACACATCGATAAATGAGCAGAACTCTGGTGAAAATTTGTCCCTGGGAGGTGAAGGTGATGGATCATCTAAAATCTTTCCCATGCAAACATAACTTAACTTCAGTTGGCGAGACACGAAGAGAGAGGACCATAGCAATGAAAACTGCAAGTACTTAGAATCTTGTTTAACATTACTATAACTCTCACCTGCAACATAAGATTTACTGGTCCATCATTAGCCGTGTAAGGAAACTCCCCAGTTCCACACTCGAAAAGAGCAAGGCCAAGACTCCAGATATCAGCTGGATACGAGTAGTTCTCATTTCGAATTCTCTCGGGTGACATGTATGTTACAGTTCCGACAAAAGTTGCACACTGACAAGAGTAAACATGTTTAGGATTTGGGCAAGGAAACTCTAATTGGCTGGCTAATCTTTTACATTCGTAAATGTAAAAAATGCAAAAAAGAACGAGAGTCATTCGACCACAAACCATTGCGACTGAATTCTCCAGGCCAGCACTTATCCCAAAATCTGTTATTTTGGACTCTCCTTTGAGATTTACCAGCATATTTGCTGGTTTGATGTCTCTGTGGACTAAATGTCTCTCTCCATGCAAGTAACTTAGTCCCTTATGGAACAACAAAATCAAGGAATAAGAGTTATTTAGGTGAAAGTGGATGAAGGAAGCACAAAGATTATGGCTGTTCATTTCCTTACATGGAGAAGCTTTTGAAACATGAATGAAAGCACTGGTTCCGGCATGCTTTTCCTCAATCTCAAGATATCAGCCAGTGAGCCACCATCCATATACTCTAAAGCTATACTTATTTGGCCAGAATCAGGAGTGTAGAATGCCCCATGAAACTCCACCAGACCCTCATAGCAAGGTGCCTCACATAAAGTCCGTATCTCAGTAAGAAGTTGTTGTCTCTTCTCCTAAAAATTGAAATAAAATAATCCATGTAGCTATGTCCATATGAGAAATGGAGGACATCAGACAGAAAGCCAAACCTTTACCTTCTCAAAAATATTGATCTTCTTCAAGGCGAGAATCCTATGAGTTGGGATGTGGATAGCTCTCTGAACGACACTGCTTGCACCACTACCAATAGCACCAAAAATCCTCATCTCGTGGGAGGCGCATCGATATGTCTTTTCGCTATGCTCGGTCGTGCCAATAGGGGAGGAAGTGCTTTTGTGCAACCCAAGCTCGTTTATGTTGTACACCCCATATGATCTGCTCAATAAGTTAACAGTTCCTCCATCCGAAAGCTTCACATGCCAAATTGCCATATCAATTTACAAACAAGAAATTATTTGAGATCAACTACCTAGCTTTGTTCATAACTATAAGAGCGAACTAACTCACCATGTACGAATTGTTGAGGTCCAAAGATGGCCCAGCTGAGAAACCCTTCTCGGCATCAAATAAAGGTGTCAGCTTCTTTCTCAACTCCTCCAAGCCAGCCATGATAAGTTAGCAAATCTATCGTCCACATTCACTCCATATCTCTGCACGATAAACATAAACGATTGGTTATACTGCAAATATCCGGAATATGAGTTCATCCACCTAACTAAACTCAGTATGAAGTGAACAATTGAGCAGTAAAGCAAGACATTGTTCATCATTTTTTGTCAGAAGAAGCAATAAACAAGAATGCCCAAGCCACAAATTTCCCATCAAAGCCGGCTTAAACCCCATAGAAAGTCAACTAACCACAACCACTGGTCCAATTCTCAACCCCACCGATTAAGCATTGACCAAAGCTCCAACTAATGTTATACAGATAAGAAACTCCAGCAAGCAACCTCAATCAAGAACAGAAATCCAAACGTTCCAAGTAAAATTCAAAATCAAACATCAAAGACCAAGATGGAATACTGACCACAAACAGCAATCCGAATTCATATATGAATCGAAGGATAAGTGACGAGCCGGAAAGGGATCAGAATTCAGAAGCAGAAATGCGGGAACTTGATGAGACGAGGAAGCTGAGAACAGATGCACGAGGCCGTAAAGATGGAAACTTTAGAGCGTAGACTCACAGTAGGAATCTCGTACAGTTGGCGCTAACAAGTTTCTGGGTTTGCCCTTTCATGGGAAGAATCAACAGTATGAGTAGTTGTCTGTGGCTTTTTGGCAGTTCGCGTTCCTTGTGCGACCAGCTTCCCCCCTTTGGGAGGTTGGCAAGTTGCGTCTTCATCGCGGTTTCCAAACGTTCCGGTTTTTGCTTTTTTGGTCACCACGCCGGCGACACGTAAGGGGTGGTTTGGGTGTGGAAATTCTAAAACGTTGAAATTTGTCTGAATTTCTATGTTGTACAAAATTAAGGAATTGACTAGTGGAAATTGAAAAAAAAATTCACATTTGGATAGGGTTTAGGGGTCGTTTGGATGTGGAAATTTCAAATCGTTGAAATTTGTCTGAATTTCCACGTTTTACAAAACTAAGGAATTGACTTGTGGAAATTGAAAAAAAATTCACGTTTGGATAGGGTTTAGTTTTGTGGGAATTGATGGTGTGGAATTTGGAAAAAGAAGTAAGAAAACGTGGTAATGTCAAATTACTAGGGGGAGGTGTAGTATTCTCAATTACCATGAATGTGGTAATTGAAGCCAATTTTCATGGTCCAATTTCCATACCATTTTTGCTCTCCCAAACGTGGATTTTTAACCCAATTACTGCATTATGTGGTAATTGGGTCCAATTACTGCATTACATTCCACATCCAAACGACCCTAGTTTTGTGGGAATTGATGGTGTGGAATTTGGAAAAAGAAGTAAGAAAACGTGGTAATGTCAAATTACTAGCGGGAGGTGAAGTATTCTCAATTACCATGAATGTGGTAATTGAAGCCAATTTCCATGGTCCAATTTTCATACCATTTTTGCTCTCACAAACATGACGTTTTTAACCCAATTACTGCATTATATGGTAATTGGGTCCAATTACTGCATTACATTTCCACATCCAAACGACCCCGTACATCGTTTCCATCGGGTATTAGATTTCGTTGTTTTTAGTGTTTTACCAGATCTGATTCGGGTGGTTAAACATACTGGTGGATATTTGGTATCATTAGGGATGACAACAAAACCCGAATCCACGATACCCTTCTCGATCCAATTCGTTCAACGCGGGTAAAACTCGTGTTGACGGATTTTGGATCTGGTTCGGATTTAAACCCGTTCACTATTCATCGAGTTTGGTTTGGGTTTAGGTAAACTCGTCCCATGGGTAATCTTTTTTATGTTTGTGGAGACATGTCTAGTTTTTTTCTTTCTAATTGTGTAGAATGAAGTTGATATAGAGTGGAGAGTGAAGAAGCTTAATTGATAAGGAGGAAGAAGCTTTCATTTGATCATTTTGTTTATGGATAATTTGTGATTCATTTTTCTTGAGTTTTCTAAATTGGCGTTGAACAATTTTTTTAGTTAATTTGTGATTTGCTTGAATTTTCTAGAATGGTGTTTTATTTATGGATAATTTGTATTGAGAAATTGATATTTGACTTTAATTTTGATATTAACTTGTTATTGTAAATTTTTAGGAAAAAAACCCATTGGTACCCATGAACCCGCGGATACCCAACGGGTTGGGTTGGGTTTGAGTTTTTCAAGTCCAGTTGATTTTACCCGGGTTTTTTTCACGGATAAACCCATAAATATAGGTTTGACAAAACTACCCAAATGCCCCGTCTTCTTTCCATGATTTTTGGAAAAAATCCAAAACTACCACTGTTTAAAAAAAATTTTACAAAAATACCACCTTCACCAAATAATTTCCAAAAATACCATCATTTATATAAAACCGCGCCTCTGATGAGCGGTTTTCAATGAAACCGCAGCCTAGAGGCGCGGTTTCATCACAAAACGCTCATCAGAGGCGCGGTTTGACCTTGCATGGCTGTCAAACAGCGTGTCCACGTGGCGGTTCATTAAACCGCTCGCTGGGAGAGCGATCTAACGGCCAAAACGTGTGCCAGCTCGGCGATCCGCGTCGGCCAAATAAACCGCGTCCCCGAGGCGCGGTTTGACTGTTCGAGAAAAGCAAAACGCGTCCCCGAGGCGCGGTTTGACTGTTCGGGAGAATCAAACCGCGTCTCCGAGGAGCGGTTGACTGTTCGGGAGAAGCAAACCGCGTCTCCGAGGCGCGGTTTTCGTTGGAAAAAATTGACGAAATGGCCCTCGGGGACGCTGTTTGTACCCTATATAAACCCCCTCCCCCTTCACTTTTCTGCACACCAACCTCATTCCCCCCTCTCTCACTCTAACTTCTCCCTATCCACTCCCCTCCCCACCCAAAAACCTTAGAAACGTTTTTTTTGTTGGTTGCGGCCTAAGTCCGATCTGCTTCCAAAAAACTTTTCTTTGTTTTTCACTAAAAAACCGTCGAACCTCTGTCTGGATTCCGAGAGAATGGCCGATTTCGCTCAAGAAGACGGCCTTTTTTTATGATTATCAAACGGTACGTACTCATTTTCCCCAATTGTTGTTGTTGTTGTTGTTATAATGATTTATTTAATTTATATACTAATGATTTGTGTTATTGTTATGCTATCGTAGGTTGGGCCGGATGTTGATATTTTCAATCAACGATATTATGTTGAGCAAGGAGCGATTGATCCGACAGTTTTATACGATCAAGCAAATCATCGTTCAAGAGACGTTTGGAACGACCACAAGGTACATATTATTTATCATCAATTGTAATATGTATTTTGTTAAAGTAATTTATTTGTTTGTACAATAATTTACTTAATTGTTAATCGTATTGATTATTTTCAATAATTTAAATCAATACAATACAACACTTATTTAGACTCTTTATAAAGAAATGCATGTCTAAGGAAATGGGGACTTAAGCCATCATCATGATCCCCCCATGATCTGGGAAAATCGGGTTCTAAGCGATCCTCGGATCCCCCCTTTTTCTGTCAAAAAGACTGTGTTTCTAAGGAGATGTATACCTCTCCTAAGAGTCTTACGAGTGTACTTGTATTGCTTTAAATTATTGAAAATAATCAATACGATTAACAAAATAATATATTTGGATATTATTTTAGTTATGTTAATATTAATGTTTATTAGACAATGTATATTTCTATAAAATCGCTTGATTTAATTAATATTGCATCTTACAAAATTATTTTAGTTATGTTAATATTAATGTTTATTAGATAATGTATATTTCTATAAAATCGCTTGATTGAATTAATATTGCATCTTAGAAAATTATTTTAGTTATGTTAAAATTAATGTTTATTAGATAATGTGTATTTCTCTACAACTACAACAACCTTGATTTATGTATAAATTGTATCTTATAATATATTTATATATGTATAAATCATCAACTTATAGTGAAATTTAAATTCTTCTCTAGGATGCATACCATATAGTCCGCTATAGGGGCACAACGAATGTGCTTGAATGGAACGACATCATCTTGCCCTTTCTAAAAAGGGCAAGATTGGATTCGATTAGGCATTTCAATGGAATTAAGGTTGACCGCCAACTCATCACGGCGATGGTAGAGAGATGGCGAAAGGAGACACACTGCTTCAATTTTCGTGAAGGCGAGTGCACCATCACACTTAAGGACATCGCCATCCTTACCGATCTCCCCATTGATGGTGATGTTGTTTGTGTGGACTCTACGGCACCACCTAAAGTTGTTGCCAATATGAGTGGTTGGCAACATTTTATATGGACGGTCACCGGGTTGTGTCCGCCAGAAAAGGGAGATCACGATGCGGATGGTAATCCACCATTGTCCAAGGGTCAAGTATCCATCACGTGGTTGACAGCGGAGATCGGCGTAAGCACAACCCTGAGTTCGGAGGGATTCCCCTCACGGAGGAAAGTTCGGAGCGCGATAAAGACATTTATGCACGTATCTACATCCTCGGCATGATCGGAGGAGTTTTCTTCCCCAAGAAATCCAACAACCTAATCAGCAATTCATGGTTGAAGATCATACTTGGTAGTTGGGATGATATGGGAAACTTGAGCTGGGCATCTGCTTGCCTAGCCCAGCTCTACCGATCCCTATGTAATGCTAGTGCGAGAGCGGTGAAGGAGATTGATGGGGCAATGTTCATCGTCCAATTTTGGGCTTGGGAGCATTTGCCATGGATTACGCCGAAGGTAGACCCCGACAAGGAATGGGGACCCGACCATCCGCTACTACATGAAGCTTATGGTTGTAGGTAAATATCTTCTAGCCCACTCATAGTTCTCACATTTTTTTTTTACTAATTTAGTTTTTTGTAACGAAATTTTTTGAAGGTACGAACATTGTGTACTTTTCCATATTAATAGGTGGCTTGGTGAAACAACATGCGACAACCTAGGAGCGCATAAGCTGGAGGAGTATCGTAGGAGGCTTGATCACCTATGGGAAGCAGAGGTGAGCATCATAATACGCTATTAAAACCCTACTTTTTAAACTTATATTATTATGTTGATTAATGGTTTTATTATTTAAACCTTCGTAGCTTAAGTTCGATCCGTATCCAGAACGGATTGAAGCGCATCACGTCCACAAGTTCCCGTTACATCCCGGTCAATGGTGCACCCGAGTTCCACTAATCTGCCACCACATAGTGGAGTGGCACTTGCCGGATCGATGTCTACGACAATTTGGACGTGAGCAATGCATACCATTGGATGTCCCGGAGAGTCAGAAGGGGTACCACGGGAAAGATGGTCGACAAGGACCTACTAATTGGCCGGAGGAGTATAAGTCGTTGATCCGGTTGTGGAATGTTAGGCAAGATCAGGATATTGTGACGGCATCTCATGTGGGGCGGATGGGCTACCATGACCCATACCTGGAAACCTACCGAAGACAATCTGTTCGTTACATGACCCCCGAAGGAGCGGCGGATGGAGCTATGGTAAGAAACTAATTTTTTATTTGTTTAGTCATGTGGTGCATTATTTTTTAAATGGCTAACTTTGTTATTTTGATCGATTTAGGTTGATGGAATCGAGCGAATCCACGACCTCGCGCGGACCGCAGATCATTCGGCGGCGGGTCGAGAGGTGGGGATGATTAGAAGGATAGCGAACAATCTCCTTGGCTGTATGCGAGCGCGCAGACGTGACCATAGGCGATACCCTCCAGTTCCCCCAGTGAGATCGGTGCCGGTGACGCTTGATGTTGACCCGGTGCCTCCGCCGGTCCATAGAAGGCAAAACAAAGCTATGAG